CAAACAATCACAATCAACAAATCCCAGGGAAATATGACAACTTCAGAGCACAGCTGTCCTACTACAGCAAGCCCTGGATATCCTAACACAATCGAAGCACAAGTAAATGCCTTAAATCCAATGTTATGAGGTGATAGAGGTCTTTAACAGGAAAAATAAATAAAGTCCTTACAGAAATACAGAAAGAGTGATCAAACAGGTAGAGAACTTTAAGGAAGAAACAAATAAATATCTTTAAGCAATACAGGAAAATACAATTCAACGGGTGAAAAAGACAAATAAAACTGTTCAAGACTTGAAAACAGAAATAGAAGCAATAAAGTAAACACAAACTGAGGGAATCCTGGAGATAGAAAACCTAAGTAAGAGAACAGGAAGTACAGAGACAAACATCACCAACAGAATATAAGAAATGGAAAAGAAAATCTCAGGCATAGTTGATACAATAAAAGAAATTGATACGTCTCATGGAAGAGAAAGTGGAAGATAGCCTTGAAGGCATTAGTACAGGAGACAATTTCCTGAACAGCACACCAATGTACCTGATACAGAATTAATATCTAGAAAAGATAAAGACGTCAAAAATCAAAGATTCAAAAACAAAAACAAACAAAAAACTCCGACCTATTTTTTAAAAAATGAGCTTTGATCCTCAACAAGAGACTTTTACAAAGGAAAAAATGGCTAAGAAATTTTTTTAAATGTTCATCATTCCTAGCAATTAGGAAATGCAAATCAAAGATTTCATCTTACCTCAATGAGAATGAAAGGTCAGTAAAACAACAGACAAATGCTGAAGTGGTTGAGGAGGAAAGAGTTCTCATTTACTCTTGCATAGGATTGCACACAGCTACAGTCACTATGGAAAACAATATGTAGGATTCTCTAAGTTAAAAATAAATATATGTTATGTCCCAGTTATCCCACTCTTTGGCATATGCCCAAAGCACAAGACATCCTATTCCACAGACATGCTCATCCATGTTCATTGCTGCTCTATTTACAATGGCTAGGAAATGGATATGACTTAAATGTGCTTCAACCAATGAGTAGACAATGAATATGTCACACACACACACACACACACACACACATACACACACACACACACACACACACACACACACTTTGGAATACTATTCAGCTGTTAAGAAAATGAAATAATAAACTTTTCAGGTAAGTAGGTGGAAATAGAAAAGATCATATTGAGTGAGATAACCCAGAGTTAGAAAGCCAAACATTACTATTGTCTTTCATGAGAGACTCCTAGCTCCAAATCTTCTGGTATGAGTACATAGTCTGAATTAACTGCCTAACAAGGAAGGCCAAAAGTTTCCTTAGCTGGGGTAGTCAGTGTGGGAGCAATAGAGAGAACAATAGTACAAGTAATCCTTGTATCTGGGAAATGGGATGGGGCATTCCTAATCAGGGAGAAATGAGGGACAGAAAAGCAGAAGGAAAAAGGAAGGTAAAAAGTAAAAGTTTCTGAACACCAGAACGAATCAATTATCTGTCTAAAAACTTAGATAACCTATAAAATGCATAATTCTGTGTATAAATATTATTATCCAGTTTAAATAAAATTTCACCTTTAGTCTATTGTTTCTCACTCCTACAGCCAAAGACCATCTAACAAAAACCACAAAATAAAGCATGAGAAGCCTTCTTTTGAGTTGTGGTTCAGACTGTACAAAAGAATATCAAAACAGACTATTTCAATGCCCATGATTGCCCCCAAGACACTATGCACTTCAGACTCAGAGACTAGAGACCCCTGAGCAGGAACTACCCTTCTCCATGAGAACTAGCTTTCATGATACTAGAAGGAGCCATGCAAGCTTCCAAAAGAGGGAAGCAAGAACAGTCCTACCCAGCTATGATGCCTATGAACCATGAGAATGATCATCACAACAGGATAACCCTACGGTTGAAGTAGCAGCATGCATACTTTTCTAGTAACCAGCAACTCTCTAATTATACTTAAGACCCACTTATGAGAGGCAAACCATTCTGGTACAGGAAACCTAGCCAACTACCCAAGTCCATCAAAATCATGGATCTTGGAGGAGAACCTATGACTACCATTTCATTAAGACAGCATAAACTCTAACTCCATTTTAAAGATTTTTAATTATACCCACTAGCTGTGGTGTGGCTCACTCTTAGTACATACCTTTAATCACAAATAATGAGGATAAAGTTAGTTTGCAGAAGAAAGCACCCATATTTGAAAGTGATGTCTAACTGAGTGGCAGACAAAGTGATGAATCAGAGGAAGACTGACAGAATGAGATATGCACAACTCTTATGATAAGAGAAAGGAAAGAGAGGCAGGAAAAGAGACAGCATCACAGAGGGAGAAGGACGCAGTTTTACCAGGAGAGTTTTACAGAGAAAGGTTGAAGAGAGAACAAACTAGACACACGTGAAGACAGAATGAGCCATAGAATGAGAAGGAGCCAGAAGATCAGAACAGATTCCCAGAGTTAGTTTGAGGCCAAGTAGAGTAGAAAGCCAGAGGCCAAGAGAGAAGTCACATTGAATTAGTCACCTTGGAGAGGAATTTGAACCAGAACAGCTGAGTTGAACCAGCCAATGGAGTTCAGAAAGAGCTATAAAGGGTGAGCTTATTCAGCAGTAAGTCTCCAGAAGCTGAAAACATTCTCAGCCTACAGAAGATTGTACAGAGGCTTGCAGTACTAGGCCTAGATTAGCAGACAGAGGCAGTTAGCCTCAGAGACAACAATTAAGTCAGGTGAATAAAAAGTCCATGAATATTTCCCTTAAAGCAATACTGATATTTTTATGGGTAACTTGGAGTTAATCACTAATGAATATAAGCCATGCAATTTTTGCCCTAAGCAAGAAACCTTTATTGCTTTAGTGAAATATTTTGGAGAAGTCAGTGGGAGGAATATATATTTCTGAATGCATATAAACATATCTTGAAGATACCTTGTTGATGATATATAACTTATTGGGGATATACATTTTGAAAGTCTTGGTCACCAAAAATGATTAAGAGTAAGAGGTCCGGGAATTTCCAAAAAGTTCCCAGCTCTATCTGCCTGCAGTTGTGGAGGTCCAGGAAAAAAAGGATATTTGTATGTCTCAAGTAAAATCAACTGGTAACGTGATATCAGGAAGAGGTGTTCTATGCCCTGAAATCTCCCTACATTCTCTTATTTCCTTTCTCTTTTATTTGCCAAGTCCAGTTTGATTCTGTTTCAACTTCTGTCAAAAGAAAGGATCATGGATCTCTGTCAATCACAGCATACCTCTACTTGTTGAGGCCTGATTCTTTTAACATAACTGTAGCTATTTTGTATTTGGATTCCATGTTATTCACAAGGTGAAATTGAGTTCAAACTCTAACTGACATTGAAGAATGCTACTAATAACCCAAAAAGCTATGGTTGAATCACTTGTACCCTGTTATCTCAATGTTCTGAAATTTCCCTGTTCACTACCTATTCACCACCCTTCTTATCTCTCTCCGGACCAATCAGTTAGATGATTAGCCAAAAGTGTTTTGTATCACTTCACTGTTTGCCTTTGAACTTTTGAACCTGGTTTTTCATATAAAAAGTCTACTCTGAGACCAAACTAATACTGCAATTAGGCTCCTGAGTCCTTTTTTGCAGTTCTGAACATCTAGTATTATGGTGTGCATTCAATAAACTATTCTTTCTTAACTGAGATTGTGTACATATGGTTTGAGTAGCAATTTCCTGAACCCCAACACTATTCTCTCATTTTAGCTCTCTGATTGCTTGCACTATGGGAATTCCCTGTCTCCTATAGCTCATATCCACTGACTTAGTTATTGTTTGTTGCTGGGAAGAGACACCATGACCAACTCAATTTAACAAGTAGTTAATTGGGAGTTTGCTCATGGTTTCAAAGGATGAGACCACAACTATCATGGCAAGGAGCATGACAATGGGCAGACAGGTGTGTCACTGGAGCAGCTGATTAGTGCTCACATCTTACCTGCAAGTTATGGAGGCAGAGAGAATGAAAATGGGCCTAGCATGCACTTTTAAAATTCAAAGCCAACTCCCATTGACACATTGTAGGTTTAGAGTTTTCAAAATCTACTTTCATAAGAGTTCTTAAATGCTTTAACCTTCCCTCTAGCCCACCACCCACCAGAGGAAGTGGAAACTAAAGGTTATTAGGACATAGGGGAAGTAGGCCTGTTTAGAAATAGTTCTTTAGGGTGATTCCAGTCTTTGTTGTCAAGATATCAGCATTTCAGTCTACTAGCAAACCACCAAACAGGAATCAGCAGCTTTAGCCCAGTTCACTTGTCAGATGCTACACATGAATCAGCGGCAGCAGCTTGATCCAGAATAAACTTTGGGGATCGACTAGATAGGTGCTAGTTCGTGGAAGCAGAAGCTACCAGAATATCACATATTCTTTGGCAAGTTACTCTCTCTGATGCCATGACAAGTGAAGAACAGCAACATGGTACAAGGCCAACAAGTGCCAGAGCATTCTCAAAATGGTGCAAAGCAAACCAAAGTACAAGCCTTGTCCCACCATCTGTGGTCATATTTATATTCTTTCTAAACATCATGCATTCATTCAGGTGTTTGCTTCAGGGAAACACCCTCTCATCAGTGTCTGCTTCAGCAAACCATTCTTTCACATGTTTGCCTTAGTAAAACATCCTCTTACCTGTGTCTGCTTCAGCAAAATATCCTTTCACTTGTCTGGCCCAGCAAAACATCACTGTGACCTAACAGTATCCAAAGAATCCAGAAATTTCTACATCAACACACCTTCTGAATAAAGCCTCACCTTATAATCTTCAAAACTGTTCCATCAATTAGGGATCTAGCATTCAAATATATGAGCCTATTGGGGCCATTTTCCTTCAAACCACTACCCTTAGGCACAGCAGTTAAAACTTTACTTAAAAGAATTGGAGCCAAAATTTCATAAAGACAAACTTGTAAACTATTGGCTGTTATTTTTTAAAAAATATTCTCCCTAACATTAGATGCCTTGAAGGTGTGGCTGCTGTGTCACATGTGCTTGAGAAGGTGACAGAGAGGAAAGGGTCTTTGTCTACACTCAGTATTATGACCTATGAATATCTGAATAATTAGTAGACTAACTAACATTCCCTGAAAAAAAGCAAGCCTGAGATGACCACTAGACTGGCACCACAAGGCCCAGTCATGGAGCTAGTTTGTGATGACCATGAGTCCAACACCATGCAGGACCATAGGACCATGCCTAAGGTGATCCCTGCCCAGCTCCATAATGCACGAGCAGGGCAGTGAACTAAGTTTAGCACTCCAGAAACCATTCCTCAGATGACTCCAGACACACAGAGCCCAGGTCACCACCTAGAGAAACAAGTAAGTGGTGGAGAAATGGAAGAGAAAGAGAAACAGAAGGATGTGGGCACAGTGAAAAGACGCAGAACTGGAGACTCAGGGGTAGTGAGGAACAGCCTGGTGTGAGACCATGGTATTGTACTGTCGTGTCTCAGTCTGTGGCCCTGCAGCAGCAGGGATCTGTTACCACCAAAGTCTAGAGAGACATCCCCAGTCTGGGCTTTGAAGAACTGGCCCCACTCCTTACCTGGGCATCATGGGACAATTGATCCTGGGGGCATGAGAGCAGGAAAATTACCCTTGCCTCTACCCCTAACTGTAGGACTGTGAAAGGATGACTTGGTCTCTCTGGTAGAGCACTGGTTTTGAGATAGCTGGAGACCCAACAGGTGTTCATTGCCTGTGTGGGGACGGCACATATCTCACCACGCCCCCGGATTTCAGGCTCCTGATACTCAGTCTATCTCCATTAACCTTCGCCTTACAGTCACGTTTGGCTAAGCAGCCCCTCTCAGAGAGGTTTGTGTCACCATCCACACACAGGTAGAGGGCATGACTACAGGCTTCAGCCTTGAGAGATTTCCATATTCATGAGTTACCTAAAGGACAGAGGGCGTAGCTAATTAAGTTATTCCTTTTCTCAGCCCCTCATCTTTTCCCCCTCCCTATTTAAGTCAGGCCCACCCTGGCTTAAACAGGGGAAGGTGCATATCTAGACCATTTATCACACACCATGAACAATAAAGCTTTGGAACCCATGGACTTTCTCGTGTTATTGGGGCCTGCCATCATGGAAAGCCATCCTGGGCTTCTGCCACAGGATCCGCATCTAACCAGCTGCAGTACTCAGGAGAGAAGCACTGCACATTGCCAGAGTTGTGGGTGAGACGGTCTTGAGGATATAAGTTTGGGAGATCTGACCTTACCCCTCAGCTTCTGTGCAGTGGAATGAAAGGAGAGATACCCTTCTCTTCACCTCATGCCTCACCATCTGCAGTGGGTGGGAGACCTGGCTCTGAAGTCATGAGAGCAGGAGAGCTGTCCCTGCCCCTCACCAGCTGTAGCATTCAGGAGAGTTGGCCTGCACCTCACCTGGACAGCACAGTAGAGCTGACACTGTTGGCGGGGGAGCAGCAGAGCCAGCCTGAGGGTATGAGTGTAGGAAGAGATGAATGGAGCTAGGGTATATGATGTGAAATTCACAAATGATCAATGAAAAGTCAGATAGATAGATAGACAGACAAACAGACAGACAGATAATAGATAGATAGATAGATAGATAGATAGATAGATAGATAGATAGTCCCTGTCTGAACTGAACAAAGATGGCACCAATGAACATTCCAAACTGGAGAGAAAAAAGCCCAAAAGGCCTGAACCCTATACAACAAAGTCCAGAAAATTGAAGACAGTTGGAAATAGGAGAAGTGGCCATCCTCAGGGAAGAGCACACCAATTGGTTGTCCAGTGCCAGAGAGTCAGCCCTGAAAACATATACAGGCACCATTATATGAACTGAAAATATTGTATCCAGGAATATGCATGTGTACACGTACACACACACACGCGCGCACACGCACAAGCACATGCCCATGTGTGCATATATGCATACAATAATAGTAAAAAAAAGAGGCCATGAATTTGAAGAACAGTGAGGAAAGGGTATATGGGAAAGTTTGAAGGGATGAAAGGGTATGGACAAATGTAACGAAAATATAATCTTAACATAGAAACTAAATATTGTCCCTGGTATCCTGACCATGGAATATCTGATTACGCATGTCCTATAAGAACCAGATTTATTAAAATATTTAGTCCTTTGGAACCAGATTAGACTAGTTATGAAAAGTAAAAAAAAGTAAAAACTAAAAAAAAGAAAGTTAAAAAAAAGTAAAAGAAAGGACCAGAAAACTCCCTCCTACTAAGTCCTGTACACCATCTCTGCTTAATTCTCTGTTAAATGGTAATGCAATAAATAAATTAATAATTCATAATAATATAATAATACTTAATAATGGAATGTCCACAAAGCGCTTTCCAAAAATACCGTAAAGAAGCTTCTCAGGCAGGAGAAGTGGTGACTGTGCTTGCATTCAGTAGAGAAGTAGGACCAAATCTTATCCATGATGGGCTCCAATATACCATATGTAAAGATCTTTAAACAAAAGTATTACAGAGAATGGGTTCAAAGACATTTAAAAAATACTATCACAAATGTGTGTGAAACGCGACCTTTGACTGGCAATCCCTTATGTAAACAATTCTCACCACTGCTCAGAACAGTCTATGCTTCATAATCAAAAGCAGAATCCCCTCAAATAACTTATAATCAATTGATTGAACAAGAAAATATTAAAACAGTGGCCCAACAGCTTGATAGCGCTCTACAGGTTAATAGGCAAATCAATCAAGCTTCTATAAATGTATGGAGTAAAGTCCCTGGTATTAATACTTCCTCAAGGTAGTTTTCCACTGTCAGACAAAATTCTAGAGCCCTTTATGTACTACGTTGTACAAGCTATATAAAGACAGATAGATAATAATGATGTGAAGGCTACTTCATCCCTTTCATTAACTTGTGAAAATGCAAATTCTAATTGCAAAAAAAAAAACCTTCATTCTGTAGTTGCTACTCTTTTTCACACTATTGCTAATATGATAAAAGCATGCCAAAATGTTGACACAGAAGAGCATAAAGCACAAAATCCATGTGCTTCAAATGTGTAAAAAGAGGACACTGCCAAAAATAATGTAAACAAAAACATGCTAATAAACCTCAGTATAATAGGACCCCCCCCCAAAAAAAATAGATCAAAATGTAAGAAGGGTATTTACTTGGCTAATCATTATGATTTAGAACCAATGACAAAGGCAATCCAATTTGGAGAAATGGGAAAATAAACGCCAGGGGGCAGCATGATGACACAAACAGGTTCTCTTACAGTGTCAGCTTAGAATTTCAATGCTCAGGCCCAGTGACAGCAATAGATCCAAGCAAGCTGCCAACTCCACAACAGCGCTCCTAAACCAAAGACAATAAGAGATTTGATTACTACCACTAAAATTAATTCAGGATTAGACTTATCTATAACAAAAGACATAAAATTTGATTTAATAGGAGAGGTAAAGAGAATCTCCATATTTCTCTGTGGACTCCTTCCAACAAACTATCCTGGGCTTGGTATTAGGCATATCAAATTGGACTATAAAAAGATATTTTGTTTGCCAAGATATATTTGATTCAGATTATACTGGTCAAATTTATATTATGGTTAATTCCCAGCTACTCCAAGACATTCCAGTTCTAATATAGTTTGCATGATTGCTTACTATTCCTTATCTGATCATACAAATCCTTGATTAAGGTTACCAAAATCAAGAACTTGATTTCTCAAATTCATATTGAACTTAGAGTATAATATAATATATAATATAATATAATATAATATAATATAATATAATATAATATAATATAAT